TTATAAAATGCCATATGAATGACACTATAGGAAAAAATAATACTCCTTTTTTATATAAGCAAAAACATGGCATTAGTAGCCATATTGATGGAAGTAGTGTTATAAAAATGGCATTAAATGTCAAAAATAATAGTCACATAGAAAACAGGAAAATATGACATTATAACAGATTTAATGCCATATGAATGGCACTATAGGTGAAAATAATATATTCCTATTTTATATAAGCAAAAACATGGCATTAGTAGCCATATTGATGGAATTAGTGTTATAAAAGTGACATTGAATGTCAAAAATAATATGGTCACATAGAAAAACAGAAAAATGTGGCATTAATAGTATTGGTTTTCCAAAGAAGTAATATTTTCATTTTAATGCCATAAAAACTAGCAGTTATGGAAATTTAAATTTTAATAAAAAAAATTAATTTGAAGAGGTACAAAAATTTAATTGACATGATTGAATGAAAAAAATATTATCTTATTATAGAACATAAAATAAAAAATTAAAAGAACAAGAACAAGAAAGCTAAGCAAGAGAAAAATCTTGATAAGTTCGATTCGGATATGAAAGGGAAACAAAGTAAACCAAAAATCAATTTAAAAGTTGGTCATAATTAAATCATAATAGTATATAGAAGCTTCACACAATTTTAAAAAAAGAAATAGAGGCTCTGCCTCAGATCGAAGGAAACGAAGGAATATGGGAAGAAAAGAAGAAAAAGGAAAAAGAAAAAGGAGGAGGAGGATGAGAACAAGAAAAGGAAGAAGAAGAAAAAGAAGATTGGGCCGTACCTAGTTCCCATAGTACCCCCACTTTATAGTTAGCTTCAACTTCAATTATTTATTTTGCAATGTTTTATTTTAAAGTTATTGATCTAAATAGGACCAAAACAATAAAAAAGTTCCAAAATAGGACTCCTTGTTGAATTATCGGGGATAATTCAACAAGGAGTCCTATTTTAGAACTTTTTTATTGTTTTGGTCCTATTTAGATCAATAACTTTAAAATAAAACACTGCATATTACGGGATGAAAAAGGTGTTTTGCATGGACTTGAACCAAAAACATATTTAAACCGAGAATTTCTAATAACATTAAAGACTAATGTGTCGTCTTCCAAACACCAAACACCTCTTTAGTATCACGGTGACGCACTTTTTTATGACAGTAATTATAAACATGTCAAAGTTTCAAGTAGTACCTCAAATATGAAATCAAAAGGTGTTTGATGCTCTATTTAAGTAGTACGGAGTATTAGGCAAAATTAAAACCAGTGTATTACTCCATCCGTCACTTATAACTTTGTCAACTTTCCTTTTTTAGATGTCCCACTAACTTTGACACTTTCCCTTTTAAGTAAATAATTTGTGGTTCCAGTTAATTCTTTCTCCTCTGTACAAACCTCAATCACACAGCTTTCTGCACAAACCTCAACCACACAGTTTTAACTTTATTAATCTACGTGCCGGTCAAACTTAATAAAATTATTAGGGACGGAAGGGATGTATAATCTTATTTTACATTTAGGGAGTAGTGACACAAATCACAGAATGTAATGAATACGTTATACATATTAAAATTCACTGATTTAAACATTACCAAATACGGAGTATGAAATGGTGTGTCACGTAACAGTCATATGCATTTTAGGTATCAAACATTCAAACCCGCTTTTATTAAGATAGTAAAACGGTCGTCACAATTACTTTTTATTATCTACATTTAAAGTTTTGTTTTGTTTGAGAGTGATTGCTCCAAGTTGAGTGTTTATTGTCTTTAGTTTGTTGTTTCTGATGTATATATGTACATTAATGCAGAATATGTAGTTTTGACCGAATATGGGCGAGTCCACTGTGCCTGACTTGCCCTCAAATTACGGGGTGGGGCTCAAGATGGCCTCCGCCTTTCCCAAACCAAACTAACAGTCTAACAATCAATAGGTGCATTGAATATCAAAAACGTCAAAATAACATTTCCCACCATGTTCACCTGTTGTTTGTGATCTCATCATTGATCTCATATTCTCATGTCTTAGTGTATATGTGCATGAGGGTTAGTAATGTATAATTATGGATCTGATGTTAAAGCTGTTGGGTGTGTTTCGAAAAACAAAGAAAATTAATTAATAAAGATTAGTTAAATAAAATGACTTAAAGAAAAACAAGAAATGAGATGAAGCAGAATAAGCCAAAGCTCGTGCCACGCACGATTTCCTTAAAACGTATTTGTTGCCTCCCGGGGTGCTAGGAGTGTTGTAACGATCGTTTCCCAGGATACGATGACTTCGAACAATAGTTTAGTACTCAAACTAAAGTTCCAACGAACGTGAACAAAAGCTGAACACCGAAGGAGTTTGTATGGAGTGTTAGAGGTGCTGTTTTAGCTATGAAAATACGTGAACGAAGTGTATGAAAGATTGTCTTTGCAAAACACTTACTAGCCTTTTATAGGGGTGGATTAAGGTGTGTTAATGCCTGTTTAAGGGTTATGATCGTTGGGCATTGATTCCAGTCCTTAAACAACCCAAAACGTTCATATGAACGTTGGGACATCAATGGCAGCATATAGACGTTGGGCATTTATGTGCATGGAACAAAAATTAAAGTAGGAACGTACCGGAAGAACAAAAATTAACGTTATCTATACAAGATATATTTTCGGACGACATTCGTGTGTGCAGGTCGCCCGCACACGCAAGTCGCGGTTTTTGTTCTTCGGTTTCGGGATTTGATTCGCACGCACCCCCGCGCGCATGAGAGAGCCTTTCCCTTTAGGAATCTTAACTCCTTAGGGGGGGTTTCCCTTTATAAAGGGTTCAAATTCCCTTGTGATTTTCGGTGTGGGAAAGAACCCACACTAAAACCCACATTTTCTTAGTTTTCTCCATTCCAACGTGTACACTTCGAAAAACAATTTCCCATTCACCCGTTATCCATTTTGAGTGTACCATATATCGAATTGTAGCCCTTAGCAAGGACAATCCGAAACCACTTTGACCCGACCCAAATCAGAAGTGGACCCCACTCAAATAATTGCCCCAAAATGACCATTTAATACACTTTTAACACACTTTTTCCAACAAAAACTCTCTCCCCAAAACGATAACAAAAACGGCTCCCACAGAAGGTTATTTTTAAAACTATGAGGAGTAATTGATGAATTCTACATTGCCACATTGGGAAAATGGCAACTCTAAACGGGAGTAAACTAATCTCTAAATGGACAAATAGAAAATATATTTTCTATATCTTCTCAAAATTAGGGTAAAATATACTCTATCTTCTTATTCTACCATTATCATAACATAATAAGAAAATTATACTCCTATTTATTTGTAATAAAAATAATATTTTTTTTAATTTATAATAAAATTAGAAAAATTAAAAAAAATAAAACAAAAAAAAATCAATTGAAAAAATAAATACTCCGTATAAAATAAAATAAATAAAAATAAAATAGTAGGCCTTTCACGCCGCCTCTGCCATATTCCAGCACCGCCACCTCTTATAGGCAAAAAAATGTCAAAAAATACACTAATATTCTAAATATGCCAAAAAAAATTGAAAATGACATGAAGATGGCATTATTGATGCATGTTGACATTTTTCGGCGGTCAGATGGTGGTGCTAGGAGGCAGCGGCAAAGACTTGCATATTTTTTATCTTTTCGTTTTTTATTGTACCGTAGTAATTTTTAATGTGTTGTTTAATTTTTATTTTTTTTTTACTTTTTCTATTTTTTATTTACATTTATTTTATATAATATTTATTTTTATGTTTAATTAATAATAAAAACATGAATTTTCTATTGGAAGTTATTTTGGTTAGGGAATTTAAAAGTTATACTCCTAATTTTGCAATTTAAGTTTCTTTTAGTCTTATTTAGAGAATTCCTCTTCTACATTATATGGGAGATTTCCCAAAATTGGAGTAATTGAACTACTATGTTTTTATTCCCGAAATAAGACTAAAATGACAATATTTACATCTTGCGGGCATGACTGCCAAATAGTTGTAGTACAGTCATTAAACATGACAATATTTATTGTAATTAATGGCAGTATTTTTCAATCATTGCTGTATTTTTCATACATGTCAGTAACAACTCCTATTTCGGGAAGAAAAACATAGCAGTCATATTTTGGAATTCATGCTTTTAATTTTACCCACTTGTAAATTGTAATACATGACTTTGACATTCCCGCTAAATTTTCCGTGCTTAAAATAATCTAAATGGTGTCGTTAATATGATGAGAAGGTCCACTGATTGCCATGGAGAAATAGTACCGAGTCTCTACTCTCTACTAAATGTAGAAAAGATTAAAAACGCAAAATTCATAAGAATAATATATACTTTCAGAGATTTTACAATAATAATCTCCACGAGTATTCATAAATAAAGTTAGAACTAGCAATGGTGTTTAGGAAACTTGTTCAAGTATGTAAAAGTTGGTCTCATCTTTGAAAAAGACAAAAACTAATCACAATTTGTAAATTGAGCCTCAAGATTGGCATGATTAGATGCATGTACTTTTTTCTACAAATTATTCTTTTTAGGAAATTGGGGTGGATTCAAACCAATGCCCCTCTAATTTCAACTTCATTTCTTTTATATGTGCTTCTCCCTAGGTTAGAAAATAGAAGTGTTACTCGAGACATTGTTTAAGTAAATTTAAAATAATTAATTTGTGATTAGAACATTGTTTTGAGGAAAGGCTCTTGTTCAAGTAAGACTCTTGTTTGGGTATTGATGAGTTATGCTTGTTTGATGTTTTTATACAGTAGTCTTATTCTTACGTAACTGTCTTACACTGTTGTGATATGAATATGTACATGGGAATGGGATAGAAATTAATAAATAATAACTTTCGAAGATATTCGGAGTAAGAGGGTTGGTTTAAACATTCGAGTTCTACCAAGTTCATATATACACAGTATAAGTTTTTTCACTTGGAGCTATGCACATTGATAGTATTTATCTATATGTATACATTCTCAGTTGCGAAATGTTTAACAAGTGCCAAGCCCAACAATGGTGGACCAACAACTATGACAAGGTCATGGAATTGTACAATGTCCAGAGGCTTATTCACCAGGCTGCCCCTTTACCAATTCCACCATGGTCTCCGGACGAGGTAACGGATAATAAGAACTTATTCATTTTGAATGAAACTTCCCCTAAAAAACCCACCATGGTCTCATTTGAATTGATTTGTTGGGATTTGATCAAAATCCATCATTTTAAGCTCGTCTTATCTCAATTGATATTCGTCGGTTTAAGGATGTTTTCTTTTGAACTGAAATTTGGTGGTTGATAAACGTCTGGTTTGGTTTGGTCTGATTTGGGCCTGATAACAGTCCAAAAGAAAACATACTAAATTTGATTTGAGTTTATCTATTCTAGTTGAGTTTATACTAAATTTCATAACATTTTATTATTATTTTATAAGTTGATTTGATGTTGATCTTGCGTAATCTATCTAATTTGATCTAATCAAACTTTATACTACGCATAATTCTTTTCGTCTCAGCTTAATCTTTGAACGTGTGAATTTCATCCCAACATAAACTTCTCATTTATATTTGAAAGTCCCAACTAAATAACATACGGAGTATTAAATAATTAATTGTCAGATATTAAAAACAATACATGACCACATTATGTTTATAATAATGACGTCATTTATAAAAAATGTCCTCATTACTATGTTTATAGAAAACGGCTAATCTATCTGGACTCTTAGATTTCATATTTCATAAACCTTATTAGAATTTGGTAGAATCTCCGAGTTTTTGTTAAATAGGTACTCTACTAATAATACATAAAAAGAGAAATTGCCCTAAATATGAGTAAAGATGTTCTGGAAATCCAAAATAAGATCATCATTTTTTATACCCGAAATAAGAGTAATAGCAACTGACATGTTTTGGCAATACCAGATTATAAACATAACAGTATTTTTTAAATTTGGCGGTGATTACTTCTATTTATGGAATAAAAATCTATTCTAAACGTTTTTACTATATATTCCGTATGAGTTTTCCCTATATAAAAGCCTTAGAGCATCTCCAATGCTAAAACGTTAACCGTGCATACGTGACATTAGAAATAACCAATTAAAAAACAATAAATAGAATATCTCTCTCCTTATTTGAAGGATGTTACATCATTCTGGTAAATTTTTCTTCACAATGTCAAGCACAATGTCTAGATGTAGACATTGTGATTGACATTGCAGACAAAAACTTACCAAAAACACATAAGACCGTGGAAAGAATGAGAGAGAAATGTCATAAAATCAATATTTTGTGGTTATCTCTCTCATGTCATATGTGCATCGTGAACGTTGTAGCATTGGAGATCGTCGTACAAATCTCAATAGTTGTGACGCCATTCTAAACTAGATTACAAGAGCTTGATTTAGATTTCAATCTTTTAGCGAACTTCACCCATACATTCTGATTGCCTTATGGAAATTGAAATCGTTGTACAGATCTCAAAAGTAGAATCCAGTGAGGACGGCCTCGTGATCCCTCCTATAAGCAAGGAACTTTTCCTCGGTCACTCTCATAGCCCGAGGGCAGTCGGGGATTACGCTGCCTCCTCTTCATCAAAAGATTTTTCCAGGGAGATTGGTCAGTCCGATGAGCCGTCGGTCAGCAATGCAAGTGAAATGGAGACGGAATGGGTTGAGGAAGACGAGCCAGGAGTGTATATTACAATCCGAGCCTTGCCTGGTGGCCCTCGAGAGCTTAAAAGAATTCGATTCAGGTGAGTTATTCTCTCCAGGCCATCTATGGACAATGTACTCCATTCAAGATTCAACTCGTTTCCAAGTTATCTTCATATTATTCAAGATAATTTATTATACTGCCCCACATTCCCCCTAAAGATAATTCTGGCGATCATATTAATTATACGTTCCACTCGGATTTATTATATCTCAGAGGTGCTTGAAATTTATTCCTGCTTTTTAAAAGTAGAAAGAAAATCAAAATCAGTTTTTTTGGAAGTTGGTGTCCGTTAGCTTCTAATAACAGCTTTTAGGAACAATTTGGAGCACCTAGAAGTACCACTTTTACTCAAACACTTCAATATATACTTCTATTTAGCAAAAGCAGTATTAAGAAGTAGATCAAAACACCTCATTAGACCATATTTAAACAGAAAAAGATTAGAACTAGATAATACTAGAGTTTAAGATGATCTAGTTGTAGTGATACGAGCAATTCACATAAGGAATAATTTATTCCAAACATACTAATTAGTAGTGAGAGTTTTAGTTTAATTCTTTATTCCATAAGACTCAAGAGTAATTTGATGCAATTTTGTAATGCAGCCGAGAAAGGTTCGGAGAAATAGAGGCGAGGTTGTGGTTGGAAGAAAACAGATCCCGGATCCAACGGCGATATTTGTGATTGTGTACGTACAACATGTCGCCTGCCACTCAAGGTACAACTCCTAAAAATGACCTATCTATCATTATTCCATCTTTAGCAAATTGGTTGAGACGTTCGAGTCAACTTTGATATGCCTTTTTGGTTTGCCACCTTATCTGTCTGTTGATTCATCTTTTGTTGTCGCATTCAGCCACGTCCCAGTTCGTCTTTATTCTCATGCCACCAAAAGGTCCAAAACGATGGATCTCGGCGGTTCACATTTCATTCGTCTGCTGGCTTTCAAAGTAATATCTTCAAAATATAATGATAATCTTGTAAATATATATATGGACTAGACGAAGTACCCGTGCGATGCAAGGTATATATATACTCCGTATATATCTAGAATATGATACGCAAGGCCGGTCCAGGGCAAGGCTGCCCAGTCCAACCGCACAGGGCCCGGAATTTAGAGAAGCTCAGACAAAATTTAGTATTAGATCCAGCCCAGCCCAACTTTACGTTTAACCAATTACTGCGCCCAAAATCCCTGGCCAAACTCCCTATAGAGATAAAGATAAAGATTACATTTTTGTGCGAGAATTTTCCTTCCAATAATTGTAGCAATTTTTCTATTTCATACGTAGTATTATATAAAGATATTCAGCATTGGTTACACATTAAAATTAATAAAAAATTATGAATTTTGATATACTTTCTGTAACAATCGAAGTACAAATAAAAAATTTATAGCACTTCAAAAAAGATGTTTTTAAAGTGTTGTTTTTGTTTATTTTTAGATATTCAATATTGGTGTCATATGAAAGATAATAAAAAACTATGAATTTTGATATGTTTTTTGTAACAATCTGAGTACAAATAAAAAAGTTACAACACTTTAAAAATATAGGATTTTATTTTTCTTCTTTTTTATCTTTTTTATTCTATGTGACGTACTTAATTTGTTTGGAATGGAATTGTAACATACTGACTACATTATTAGAAACTTGCCATTGTCATTAGTATTTAATTTTTGCATTAATTCACCATTATGTCTTCATTTTAGGTGAGATTTTCCCCTCCAATTGTGGTGCAGAAACTGTTACTTTATATTATATAAAGATATGGATAATGGATACCTTTTGGATATATTAGAAATGTAGTATGCTCTAAATTAATTGGAGGTGCATTTAGTCGGATTTGTTCGCAAATTATATCCTGCAACTGGCGCACCATGAGGATGGTGCGCCTGGTTGCAAAATGACGTAACAATGAGAACGGTTGGCCTGATTTCATTATTTTTTTTTGCTTTTGTTGTTAAATAGTGGTAATAACTTTTGTATTTTTGATCCGATTTTTATAAAATTTATATCAACATTTTTTATTTTTCACGATCTTTCAAATGAAACCAATATTGCTTATGTAATTTTAACAAATTATTGAACTATTATATAAATGATTATTAGATTATAAGGAAAACCGAACTAAATTTAATACAAAAAAATAATTGTGTAAATCACAATTTATCTTAAAATTGTGTATATAAAAAATCATTGAGTTACATGTGAGTTACATATTTTTATATGTGAAGTTACATATTTTTACACGTAAGTTACATATTTCTACACGTGAGTTATATATATATATATATATATATATATATATATATATATATATATATACACACACACGAGTTGCATTTGACCTGCCTGAACGCGAGTTACATATATTTACACGTAAAGTTACATATTTTTACACGTAAAGTTACATATTTATACACGCGAGTTACATATTTATACACATGAGTTGCATTTGACCTGTCTGAAAGTAAGTTACATATTTTTTTACGTAAAGTTATATATTTTTACACGTAGAGTTACATATTTATACACACGAGTTGCATTTGGCCCGACTGAACGTGAGTTATATATTTTGAACACGTAAAGTTACATATTTTTACACGCAAATAATAATATGTTCAAATTACATTGGCAATATTGGTCTCATTTGAAAGATCATGAAAAATAAAAAATTTTGATATAAATTTTATAAAAATCGGATCAAAAATAAAAAAAATTATTAACAATTTTAAAAAAAGGAGATATAAAAAATAACAAAAGGTGCATGGTGCTCACCCTTGTTAACTACTGGGATGTTGAGTAAAAAAGGTTATAGTATTCACAACAAAAGGGAGATAAGCAAGACCGTCTAATGAGTACATAAAGCCATGTTACAGTAATAATAATCTTACAAAACTTTTTTTGGGGAAGTTTTTTTGTTTTTTGTTTTTTACAAAACTTAACAAACGGTAAATGTGCTTATGCAAAAATATATACTCCGAATAGGACTAAAACAATGACAAAAACTCAAAAAAGGATTTGCTATGTTTTTATTCCAAAATAGGATCATATGAGTCCTATTTGAAAACATACCTATTTTTACTTTCCATTCTTACCATTTCATTAAATATGAGTTGAAAATAGTCAAAAGCCATAATTAAATGTTTAATTCATAATAAATTCTAAAAAAAATCAAAAATTCGTAGAAAAATAATTAAAAAATTTACAAAATATTTATAAAATAAAAAATTCAAAATAATAATAATAATAATTTCCTATAAAAGGGTCAAATAGGTCCTTGTACCCTTTCGGATTGCTCAATTTGCTCCCTCAACCCAAAAAAGCTCCAATTGGCACCCTGAACTCGATAAAAATATTCAAATTTCACTTTTTGCAGGTTTCAATCCGATCACCGCCACGTCACCCGGTAGGTGCCAACTTAGGGGGTCAAATAAGCCCCTGAACCCGATTGAATCGCTCAATTTACCCCCTCAACCCTAAAAAATGTCAAAAAAAAATTAAGGGTTGAGGGGGTAAATTGAGCATTTCAGTCGGGTTCAGGGGCGTGTTTGACCCCCCTAAGTTGCCATGTCACATGCACAGTTGGCACCCTACCAGGTGATGTGGCGCTGACCGGCTTGTGACCTGCAAAAAGTAAAATTTGAATCTTTTTAGGGAGTTCAAGGTGCCAATTGGAGCTTTTTTGAGTTCAGGGGGCAAATGGAACAATCTGGAAAGGTACAGGGGCCTATTTGAACCTTTAACCTAATAATTTTTTTTAAAAAAATAGTAAAACTCCATAAAAAAAATTTAAAAAAATATGGATGCCTTTCCCACCGCCTGTACTACCTCCCTGCACCACCACCTCCGGTCAGTGAAAAAAATGTCATTTTCCCTAAAAACTGTCATTTTTTCTGAAAATGCCAAAAAGTGGCATATTTGTCTTTGCGAATGCCAACATTTTCATTATTTTCTGCCATAAATATGGCATTCGTAATGAACTTGACATTTCCCCCCCGGTGACTGGAGGTGGTGGTGCAGAGGCGGCGATGAATTTTATTTTATTTTTTTTGAGTTTTTTATTTTTTTTATTTTATGTTTTGAAAAAAAAATTAATTATTATTATCGAAATATTTTTATTAGTTTGTTAGTATTTTTTACGAATTTTATTATTTTTTATTATTTTATTATGAATTAAAACATTTCAATAGCTAGAAAGGTATATTTGTCCATGACACACATAATAAGTCCTATGAAAACATAGTTTAGTTTTTTATCCTATTTTTATCCTAGTTTACGAAATAATGACGGAAGTATAACCTGCCAACTTTCAATTGACAAAACTAGTACCTCTTTTTGTTTTGGACAAATATATGATTAAAGGTAGGTTGAAATCTCTCAAATACCCCTATCCCTAAACATAACAGAGAGGACTACGAAGTATCTTATTCTGGCACTGCAATCCCTTCTATCGGTCTTCTCTCTCACAGTCTCCATGACATGGCGGCACTCCAATTAAATTGAAGAGCTTCGTCGCGCAATCTCCATCACCGTTCGTTTCTTCTTCATCAACGGGGTCCGTAGGTCTCTCCTTCGAAGAACCGGTCATCGCCGCCAACCGAAACATATCCGCCGCCATCACCGCGTGCCTCGTCGGACCTGGCCATAGCCCTACACCACTCGATCGTTTTCTTTTCTTTCCGATGGTGGAGAAAAACGTTGGCAAACGCGAGAGCACGGGTTGGACATAGGGGCTTGGGAAGGCGCAGGGGACAGTGGTCGGAGTGGGGCACGGGTATGGGGGTGAGGCTGGGGAGGGGGCTGGATTCGGGCTTGTGTTGGGTCTGGGACTGAGGTTAGGGCTGGGGCTGGGAAGGGAGATGGGTTTGGGGTTGGGTCTGGGTCTTGGAAGAAGGTTGGGTCTGGGTCTGGATCTGGACAGTGGCGGGCAGGGGCTGGTGGGGGTACTAGGATGGCGGATAGGGATGGGGAGGGGCAGGTGCAAGCGGGGGCAGCTGGGGCTAGGGAGTGGGAGGTGCAAGTGCAAGCGACGACTGGGGTGGGGTGCGGTGGTTTTGGTAGGGAGATGGGGCTTAGAAGGGCTGAGGCTTGGAAGGGCTTGGAGGGGGCTGGGGAAGTTGCTGGATCGGGTTAGAGAATATGGCTGGGGATGGGGATGGTGGTGGTCGCCGGCAGTAGCCGGAGGTGGTAGTCCCCGGCAGTGGTCAAAGGTGGTGGTCGGCGGCGGCATAGTGACATGGTTAGCGGCACAGTTACGCGTTTGACGGCGGAGGTGACATATTAAATTGACATGAAAACTAGTTGGAGCGGTAGTAATTGGGAGGGTGGTCACTGGAGTGGTAGTAACTGGGGTGGTGGTCACTGAAGCAGTAGTAACTGAGACGATATCACTGGAGCGGTAATAGTAACTGAGACGATGGTCACTTCAGCGGTAGTAGTAACTGAGTCGATAGTCACTGGAACAGTAGTAACTGAGGTGTTGGTCATGACAACATTTGTTGCACAATTTTCATATTTTAATATTTATCTTGAGAAATGATACGGAGTATTAAATTAAAAAAGACAATAATTGTTATAGACTTATAGAGTGCATTGGTATGGATTGCATTTAAATAATATTGGATTACAAAAAGCTTTAATTGTGAGAGTGCATTGTTCGTTTGCTACGATGCATTGCTATGGTCTGGAGTGCATCGTTAGTTTGTTACGCACTTAAGTGGAAAGTTAGGGGGCTAATTAGTAAAGAATATGTTTCTTAGTCATATTTTTGGAAATTAAAAAATAAGATCTCTTTTATGTCCATTGTCTATTGTTTAGTAATATTTAGGTCAAAACCCCTATATTTACACTTCGTGAATCGTGAATGAGGAATCAAGACAAATACACCCTAATCAAGTACCATGGATGTAGACTACTACTGCCTCTCTAACATTGATATCGTACCAAGGTTGAAGATACTTTTTCGGCTGTATTGGTTGAAATTATTTTAGAAGATCATTTTATCTATTTTTCATATAATTTTTTTATTTTATTAATAAAAAATATTTTAAATATATTGTTTTCTATAAATCAGCAGAATCAGCCAATCGAGCCACATTTTCAAAAATTTCAGCATTATCAGCCGATTTAGCATTACCAAACGGACTCCTGAAATCTGTCAAAAATCAATGGAGAGCATTCCACCAAACATGTCTACTTTTTGGAATAAACAAAAAACAAACCATGTAATAGGGAGTTCATAATAATAAACTGATACGTATGAAGTAAAACTTAGAAGAGCATGGTCAACAAAATAATAATCCCTCCATCCCGAATTGAATTTCAAACTTTGACCGACACACGGATTAAGTAATGATAATAAATGATGCTTGTTTTTTACACATTTGTCAATCTTTTTAAAAGTAGATGTCTTTAAGTTAATGGGGAAAAAGTAAAAGTAAGGGTAAATTTGTCACTTTATTCTTATTTAAATATCTAAAATAGAAAGTAGAAAACCACTTTGGACAATACGGAAGAGGACAAATATGTTCAGTTTTGAAAAAAGTGAGGTGCCGCCGGCACATTTTGAGGTGCGCCAAGTTCTTCTTTTGATATATTGTCATTTAAAAGTAGGTGAGATTAAGAATAGTGAAAGATAATATAAACTATTGACAGTATGATGGGAAGATAATGAAATAGGAAAGATTCAAAAAAGTTGTTATAATAGTGTACTATTTTTAAGATTATTGAATGCTTGATGAAAATATTTAGAAATAGAAAGATAAGAATGTTACGGATTAAAAAAAAGTGAGAAAAAATTAATGTCGAGGAAGGAGAACTTTTTTTGAATACATGGGACCCCCACATATGGTGGGGCCTATTCTGAAGAACACAATTAACCGGCTAAACGCGGCCCTAGAGATGAGTCCTGTTAACTTTTTATATAAAAACTAAATACATGATAACTAGCACAAAATTTCTTAATTCAACGCTCAAGATAATATTACAAAATGATCACATAACACAAAAAAGAATTTGAATCATGCCGTGTGAATATTGCTATAAAATTTAATAAATTCATTTAACTCAAATCAATGACCAATCAACACTTTTATCATGAATTTAAAGCATCAAATAGCCTAATGATAGTCATCTTTAGTTAATGTGTCAACTTTCTCATCATCAAACCAACTGAGGTACCTGCGGGGTTAGTATTATATATTTCAAATTCCCATAGTAGGAGTGTCTATTCTCATTCTACGTTACATATTTATTGATTCTCTTTCTTCTCTGATCTTTCATGCTCAACAAGACCATCTCTCTTCTCCTCTCTCCCCCTCTGATCCTCTCCCTCTTCGTTCCTCAATCATAGATTCCAAGTTTCCATTTTCCCTCCCTTCTCTTGTTCATCTTTGTAATAACTTAATTTTTTCCACAAATCTCAATTTCTCCAACTCCGGCGGATTGCGGGGGTATGAAGAATAGATTTACATTACCTTTATCAATATGGCAATATTACTCTTACAATGCCATATTTCTCAATCTAAAATGCCTTTTTGACAAGTAATGTAATTTTTATGGTACTTGGTCTAATATGAAAGTGGAAAGGTCAGAACTTGTTTACTAACATAGATATTTTCCATTTTTCTATTTCTGTTTTCCATTCTCCAATTTTTTGTTTTCATTTTCAAGTTATTCTATCTCCAATTTTTTATTTTCATTTTTTAGTTTTCCATTTTCAAATCTGTAAACATGTTCATGCAATTTTTTCACGCGATTCTATGACCGGTCAAAAGACCGAAGGTACGATCCTAGTTCGGAACTGAACCTAGTACAACCCAAGTAGGGTACTGGGTCCCACTTATAGGAAAGTCGGGACCGAAACCGTCCGATCTCGATTGATCTCAACAGTTAGTTTGATGAATTCTTTTCCCATTTCTCTATTGGTTGACAACTCAACGGCTCTTTTAAAACTCTTCACTTTAAAAAATAACTTCGAAAAAACATGACTGGAACTATCAGGTAACTAACCGGTCCGGACAGAGACCACTGGATCATTTACAGAACTCGCCTGAGGCTGTGCGATTGTTGATCGGACCGAAAATAGACCATCAGTTCATTTACCGGGCAGGATGGGGATCGTCGGTTCGTTGATAGAACAGGACGGAAACCGTCGGTTGGTTGATCGCATAGGACGGGGACCGCTGAGTTGTTGACTAGACCGCATTGGATCGAGACTGTCCAACAGTCAATTAGACCGGGATTGTCCGGCCGTCGATAAGACCGAACAACAACTGCATTGTCGTGGATTAGACCGGACAGGGACCGTTGGATCATCGACCGAACCAGATAGGGACTGTCGGGTCGTGGACCGGACTGGACACGGGCCGCCGGGTCATGGACTGGACCGAACAGGGGGCCGACGGATAGTGAACCGAACAGGGACCGCCAGGTCGTCGATCGGACTGAGACCGTAAGATCGTCGGCCGGACTGGTCCGAGATTGCTCAGTTGTCAATCAGAGCGGACATGGACCGCGGGGTCAATGATCGGACCGAACAGCCGGGTCGTTGACCGGACCAGATAGGGACCGTTGGGTTGTTGACCAGATTGGAGCGGGACCGGATCCAACACTAGGCGTAAGTATGCAAATTCATCGTAGCGACACTGCAGCATCCGCGTTTTCCAATTTTGAAAAACTAGTAAAAATCACTTCTCTAATTCATTACGAAAAACAGATACATCTCTTTTTTTTATTTAAGAAAACGATTTGGTAGACGCAATTTTATGTTTTCCTTTCTACAGTTTTCCAACAATTTTTTTGGTAAATTTTTTTTTTGTTTTCTTTTTTCCAGTTTTCTGAAAAACTAGATTATATCTGTGTTAGTAAACAGACCCTTACTATTTTAATTTTCCCCAAAGCATACCCTTGATTCGAACATCGATTTGAAAATAATGTATTTAGCATTGTCTTTACCAAGATGGCAATATTACTCATATAGTGTCATGTTTTTCATATTGAAAATGTCATTTTATCACATAATAACAATATGAAATCAATATGTCATTATTAAGTTCAATCTGGCAATATCAGTCATAGTTTGTGGTATGACAAGGATTCAAGTTTTGTGGTGTTAATTCTGGGCCGGAGATCGGAGGAGGAGGTTGCCAGATGCGGCGGCGGCCTCATCATCAGAGGAGATCGGCTGAGGGGCTAGGTGTTCCAGAAGGCGGCATCCTCATCAAGGGAGGAGATCAGTTGTTCCATGGTGGTGAGCTTCGTGCGGGTGATGATGTCTAAGGAGCATACTTGGAGCCTCTAATTTTTTATTTAATGTATTTTATTGTAAATATAGAATTGAAAACATTTATTAAGGGCAAATTGGCATGTCACTTTTACTCCCACGAAATATTATGCTCTTATTTGTGTATTTCAGCAATGATTTACTCCTACACACGTAATTCTCCCATGAATAAAAGAAGATGAATTATGGATGAATGTAAATCACATATCTTAATTATAATTGGTTAAGACACGTGAAGAGGTGGAGATAATTTACTTTTTCTATTATGGGGTTAGTTATCCGAAATTAAGATAGGAATGGACGATTTGATAAGCTATGAACTAATATTGAAGGTGACAACTCCGGTACCTATTTAAAAAATGGGATACCGTACATACCACTCATTTGACTGGTTCAAATCATTACATCATTTTTAATTTAAATTTAAATAATTCAACTACATCATTATTATTGATCCATGTGGACAAATGTATGATACCTTAAGGGT